ATTGTAGTGGAAGCTAAAACCATGGGTTCCTTTAAATCAGAGCTAGATAAGATTTTAACAACTCTGAGATATTAGCTAAGTTCTCCCCAAACGAGCTTGATGGGCCGAATGGCCTCCTCTCGTTTGTAAATTTCTTATGTTCTTATGTTCTTAACACCTGGCATATGTTCTTACCTTATTCACTATGTAGCCTCTTAAAATTGTTATATTATTGTAAAGGTCATTGTTTCAGATGAATGACATAATCAGTCATTTACGTTAATTACAGGCTGCTTGCATTATACATTTGACACTGGTCAGGCACAGGGGGCACCAACATTGAGCTAGACCATTAATTTCAGGCCTCTTATCTTTGACTGTGGCACTAGATCCATCGAATCAAAGTGCCCCATTCATTGTACAACATAGAATTTGCTGCAAATGTGTACTACTGTGGCTAAGAAAGTCTGGGGTCCTTGAAAGACGATGAGCGGATGCACAATGGGAGGTCACAAACTGCTGGGACAGGCAGGTCATCTCCCTTAAAATGTACTTCAGCTCAGCAGATACTAATCACACTTGTTAACCTCAGACAAAGACGTTTGAAAGTACTTCAAGTGAGCCTTCCTTCTCCTCCATAGATTCAGTGAACACAGTAAACCAAGGATGATCTGACAAGATGTACATTAATTGTATAGATTTCCTAAGAAACTCAATATAGCTGATCACAGGGCAGGAAAATGCTAATGGAAACAACACAATAGTGATTAAATATTAAATATCCAACATGGCTCAGCGCATATGGATTTATATCTCTCTGATTCTATATATAGAGTCTATGCATCTAGACACTGTTTGTACTTAGTTTTTGAGTTTAAAATGGAAGGTATGGATTTTATGCATGTTTCTCATCTCAACCAAAAACTGAGGCAGCGGAGCAGCTCATTCATAAAGTGCGTGAGAAGCCAGTTCTAGTGCAAGGTTATTAACCATTTTATTGTGCAGGGAAGTCCCAAGCCAGCTCAGCTTGAAGGCTGCTCACCATTTGGGCACTCATTTAGAAAGGTACCCATCCATTTTCTGTAACCACTTGTCCTATTCAGGGTTGTGGGGGGTCTTGGAGCCTTTGGGCACAAGGCAAGGAACATCCCAGGGTGCCACCCCATCACATGGCACACAGAGACGGGTACACTTATGAACAATTTGGCAATTTCAATTAATCTCAGCAAGTTTTTGGACTGTACTGTAGGTGGGAACTGGAGTACCTTGAGGAAACCCCACAATGACATGGGGAGTTCGCACAAACTCCACACACATGGAGCCATGGTGGAGACTAGAACCCTGGTCCCAGAGGTGTAAAGCAACAGTGATAGCCACTCGGTCACTGTGTCACCCTTTAGAAGGTACTATAAGCCCTATATGGAATATGACCTCATGGGATGACTATTTATGTGACATTTCTAATAAAATGTCTCAGTGTTATAGTGTCTAGCAGTGGATACACTTGTCATGTGTCAGGTATACACTGACCTAAAGGATTATTAGGAACACCTGTTTTCTCATTAATGCAATTATCTAATCAACCAATCACATGGCAGTTGCTTCAATGCATTTAGGGGTGTGTTCCTGGTCAAGACAATCTCCTGAACTCCAAACTGAATGTCAGAATGGGAAAGAAAGGTGATTTAAGCAATTTTGAGCGTGGCATGGTTGTTGGTGCCAGACGGGCCGGTCTGAGTATTTCACAATCTGCTCAGTTACTGGGATTTTCACGCACAACCATTTCTAGGGTTTACAAAGAATGGTGTGCAAAGGGAAAAACATCCAGTATGCGGCAGTCCTGTGGGCGAAAATGCCTTGTTGATGCTAGAGGTCAGAGGAGAATGGGCCGACTGATTCAAGCTGATAGAAGAGCAACTTTGACTGAAATAACCACTCGTTACAACCGAGGTATGCAGCAAAGCATTTGTGAAGCCACAACACGCACAACCTTGAGGCGGATGGGCTACAACAGCAGAAGACCCCACCGGGTACCACTCATCTCCACTACAAATAGGAAAAAGAGGCTACAATTTGCACGAGCTCACCAAAATTGGATAGTTGAAGACTGGAAAAATGTTGCCTGGTCTGATGAGTCTCGATTTCTGTTGAGACATTCAAATGGTAGAGTCAGAATTTGGCGTAAACAGAATGAGAACATGGATCCATCATGCCTTGTTACCACTGTGCAGGCTGGTGGTGGTGGTGTAATGGTGTGGGGGATGTTTTCTTGGCACACTTTAGGCCCCTTAGTGCCAATTGGGCATCGTTTAAATGCCACGGCCTACCTGAGCATTGTTTCTGACCATGTCCATCCCTTTATGACCACCATGTACCCATCCTCTGATGGCTACTTCCAGCAGGATAATGCACCATGTCACAAAGCTCGAATCATTTCAAATTGGTTTCTTGAACATGACAATGAGTTCACTCTACTAAAGTGGCCTCCACAGTCACCAGATCTCAACCCAATAGAGCATCTTTGGGATGTGGTGGAACGGGAGCTTCGTGCCCTGGATGTGCATCCCACAAATCTCCATCAACTGCAAGATGCTATCCTATCAATATGGGCCAACATTTCTAAAGAATGTTTTCAGCACCTTGTTGAATCAATGCCACGTAGAATTAAGGCAGTTCTGAAGGCGAAAGAATAGAATAGAATAGAATAGAATAGTTACTTTATTGTCATTCAGAGATACACGGGTTAGTGCACAACAGAACGAAATTGCGTTGCATTATTTTGCTCAACATCAGCCTGGCAGAGTGTGTAATAAATATATATAAAAAGATGTATATATAAATATATAAATATATAATTTTTTTTATATATATATTTTATAAAAGGGGGTCAAACACCGTATTAGTATGGTGTTCCTAATAATCCTTTAGGTGAGTGTATGTGTATAGTGTACTACCCATGAAGTTCTGAGAAAAATCAAATGATACTAATTTACTTGTGACAAAGGCTGGTCATGCACAATAGAATGACAAAAATTGCATTATGGAATTGCAAAAATTGCATAAAGTTCTTCCAAAACAAAAAAAAAACACATTAAGATGTGTAAAATTTGTATAACACATAGTGACTTGATTAGTTTATTTATGGAGTTTTTTGCAATGGCACTAAATACTGTTAAAGCTCAGAATTTTTGAGCCTGACACATTACACTGTTTTAGCAGTAATACTATGTTTTTATTTTAGTACATGCCATTTGAATAAAATTTACATGTGATATAACATTTAGTAACTATGAGTCACATATTGAATTTACAGGGTGATATAGTAGTGACCCCTGGGTTTTTCAACAGAAATTTTCATATCTCACCTGGACAACTTACAACACAAAAAAGAAAGTGAATTTGCATTTATGACAGATGTGTTATTACAGCTAAAAAATATTCCTAATTTTAAAATATGTTATTATCACAATGGAAACATGAGGCCATCTGCTCCCTATCATCAGATATCTGTTCAATAATGACAGGACTTCTTTCCTTAGTCTTTATGAAACATCAAGCACAATAATTTCATATATTTAATTCACTTATTAATTTGCAAAGCCCACCTGCATGTAGTTTATTGACAGCATAGCTTTAGCTTGGTCTACATGTTAGAAGAGTAATATATACATGCTTTATTCATTCATCATTGCTTCTTGGTTAGGAAGCACCAGTATGTGAGAAGAGACAACAGACTTTTTAATACACTGACCACTTCAATCATTTGAAATCTCTTTGGGGTTAAACAAAGTGCTTTGGCATTGATATTGAATTTGAGATTACCCACTGATTTTCTATTCCCATTCTGAAAATCCATCTTTGATAAATTCATTGAAATGACAAAACTGAAACTGATAGCAGAAGTATTCACTGAAGAGCAGTTTTCACAAAATCTTTTAAATGTGTTTTCCACCTTCAGTTATTTGATCAGTTAGGTATTCTTTTTTACTATTTCAAATGCCACAGTTTACAGTAGTTATCAGTTTTTAAGGATTTTTTAATGAGATTTTTTATAAAGTGAAAAGTGAATATGTTAATTATTTTGCTTTTTTGTTAATTAGCCAATGTGCTAATTATTAACATGAAATGTAGACCGAGTAATAATTTTATTTTCTTTCCCTTTCTTTTATTTGTAGGTTATTTAACAGAGTTTCCAGCTTTTGCAGATAGCATGTGCAGGTAGATTCGTTTTATGTGATACTGAGGTGCAATACTTAATTACTTGTTTATTTAGTTATTTAATTAGATTTATCTTCTCATGCTACTTAAGTGGTGTTGTTGTGTATTTTTCCACCTTGGGTTTGTAGAATGCGCTGTATAAACGTAGCTTTGTTGTGACAGGCAGCTGAGCGACTTTCTCTAGAGGCTCTGTAGATCCTTATATGCACTTTCTGTCACATATATTTCCTGTATATATTCCTGTGTATGTTTCCTGTGACTGAAAAGTATTCCTCTCTGTTTATTAAAATTAGAGAGCCAGAGCTGGACCAACCCAGGAGTAAGAAAACAGATTAAGCCACAAATGGCTGAACCCGGTAGTGAAGGTGGAGTCGCCTTGAGAGCCAACAGCAGGAAGGACTGAGGCACATTTCCTGGATCCTTTCAGACCGGAGACAGGAGAGCGGTGGAGGCAGCATGTGGGATGGACTGGGCCTACGGATTATGCTTATGTGTTTGTGGGTGGGGATTTCTTGCCACGCTCACACAACATTGGACCATGCCCACCAGAAGCATCTACCACTCCATAGGCACAGAGAGAGAAGCAAAGAGGGGCAGGTCCTACACCGCACAAAAAGGGGTTGGGTTTGGAACCAGTTCTTTGTTATTGAAGAGTACACTGGACCAGACCCTGTGCTAGTAGGCCGGGTAAGAGCTATCAGAATTTGACGTTTCATAATTTTTTTAATTGTTGTTATCTTAATATGCTGACTTTAGACCCCATGATTAGCAAAGACTAACTATTGAGGGGGCTTATTATTGTTTAATATTGCTATCATTAAAAACTTACCATGAAATAAAGTTGATCTCTGGGGTCAGTATTTATTTGTATCTAAATTTGGTTTCTCAGTCTTGAATTGTGCTAGATATAAATATTTAGTCCTATAAGGGCTTGCTGTTACGTGGCATTTTTAAGATCCATTTGTCAATGTAGAAAATCAGCCAGTAAGCATTATTAGTAACCCCTTAGTAGTCTCTTCTAACTTTTCAGTATATTTTACAAATCTAAATTGTTTTCACACAATCAGTGGCCCACACAATCAAACAAACAAATTAATTAATAAATGGGGAAAATGCATTTTGCATCAGTTAAGAATAGACTATGTGTAAATTGGTGTATTACTGTGAATGTGTACACCTGCATTAATTCAGTAAAAATCCAGTTGCTATTTACAAAAGCTAATTTATAATTATAATTAAGCTGCTAAACTGCTCTCTGGTCACTGTCTTTAAAATATGTGTATGCATGACATGTTTTTTATATAAATGCACACAGAGTTCAGTTTTATTTTCATTATTCTGTTAGCCAAGTCCTTTATTTGTTTACTTAGCTACCTTCACTTTTATGGTCCATTCTTGCAAATTTGTTGTTAAAATAGATAAATGGAGTAATATTTTTAAATACTATTAACCCTCAATGGTTCCTTGGGGGGCGTTCTGCACCCCCTGCCCATTTCTATGGCTACTACCATGTTGTTATTAAAATTACAGCAGTTATCCTCTAGGACATTGTAAGTGCACCAGTTTTACATACGGTCATGCAGAAAATGATAGAAAAAGTGTTGACATCAATTATCGCTGGCATACTTTCTTCGGGGGTGCAAAATGCACCCCAAAAAAAACTTAATTTATGACAGATGTCTGTGGAGATTCTCAGTTATCCAGGTCATGGTTATCCTAAAAAAGGGTTATGCAATAGCAACTGGACTTTGTTTTTCATAGAAGAAGTGTTGCACTCCATCCAGAGTGCTTTCTCAATTCTGACTGACTGGTTGGCATAGCAGGTTGATGAACCCTGTAGAATCCTCAAGTCGTTAGCACTAGATGGTCACCTGTGGGTTGTTGTTGTTCCCCCTGGCTTTCATGTGTTTCACTGATACCACCTGAGGCTGAGCGTGAACGACTGTGGAAGCGTCTGGGCAAAGTTGAAAGAACTGCATTGTAGGTAGGTGATAGACGTCTTAGGCCACCTCCTCTGTTCAACGACGGTCGTTCATTTGAAGCAGTTGTCCTCCCGGTCCACCTACAATGCAGTTCTTTCAACTTTGCCAAGACGCTTCCAAAGTCGTTCACGCTCGGCCTCAGGTGGTATCAGTGAAACACATGAAAGCCAGGAGGAACAACAAAAACCCACAGGTGACCATCTAGTGCTAACAACTTGAGGATTCCACAGGGTTCATCAACCTGCTATGCCAGTCAGTCAGAATTGAGAAAGCACTCTGGATGGAGTGCAAAACGTCTTCTATGAAAAACAAAGTCCAGTTGCTATTACATAACCCTTTTTAGGGTTAATTTATGACATTGATATGATCGACAAATTCAGTTAATTAGTGATAATTGCTACTATAATTTTTTATGTTATTATATTCTAGAACATTTTCGGATATTAAAAAAAGTCAGCCATTTTGTTTTGTTTACATTTCAACTGTTAGAAAAGATATAACACCATGGCTAGGTATTCCACAGCTGAAGCTCTTCGACACATTCTGCAAGAGGATACAGTCGGAATGTGCATTATATGACCAGTCCCCTCTGCTGCCCCCCCCCACTGCCGCAACCCCTTTAACTGCACTATCTCACTGCGTAAGCTGTGCAAGCATCATTCAGTTAACTAATAAATGTATCTTAACTTTAGTTAATTGAATTTGAGCTTGGTACCATTGAATTATATATGCCAATGGATAGGGGTGCAACTTGAACCCCAAGGACCTGGAACGTAACTTTCTGACAAGGACCCATTGAGGGTTAATGGATACTGTCTAATATATATTTCTGTAACTATTATAATAATTATTCTGCATATCAATCTCTAGCTACACTCGGACGTCGACTCTGGCAATGGAAACATCAAGTATGTTCTTTCTGGAGAAGGAGCAGGCACAATCTTTGTCATTGATGACAAAACGGGGAACATTCATGCCACAAAGACTTTAGACCGGGAGGAGCAGGCCCAGTACACTCTAATTGCACAAGCAGTGGCTCGTGACACCAACAAGCCCCTGGAACCACCGTCACAGTTTGTGGTTAAGGTGCAGGACATCAATGACAACCCTCCAGAGTTCCTCAATGGCCCTTACTATGCCAGTGTCCCTGAAATGGCTGGTGTCGGTGAGTGAGATCTTTTCTCACTCTTTTCTGTTCTCAATTAGGTGTAGCTTTTCTTCTATTCTGTGGTTGAACACCATGTGAAGCATGGCGGTGATGCCATTGTGTTTTGGGTAGCAGTATGGTCAGGGACATTTGCAAATAATAAGAAAAAATATGGATCCCAGATGAAAGACTACTAAGGATTTGGGGTTAAGGAGAATGCTCTATTAGCAAGGTAATCCCAATTAAAAACAAAAGTGCAGTAGCTCTGCAAAAAAGTGAATGTCTGAAGGGGTGGATTGAAGACCAAAATTTAAGGTGTTCCAAAATTTGAAGACTCTCTCCATAAAAAATCCTTAGCCTAACCTGCAAGTAACTGAGGTATTCTGCCAAGTAAAATAGATAAAAAAAACAGAATCACAATGCTATGTAAAGTTGGTAAACATATCCAAAATGTGAAATGGCTGTTATTGTGCCAAAAGTACTGATTTAAGTGTTGCAAAAATTCTGCAATCACTTTTCGTTTTCTTACATTTTCAGTTACCCTAGGTAACTCTTCTTTATGGCAATTTTTTTTTGGGGGGGGGGGGGTCATGAAGTGTAACTTGGCACAAAACATTATGTATTAATATATGTAACTGAAAAAGGGTGAAAATGAAATTGTACCTGCAATTGTTGTTTATCTACTGCAAAGCAAACACCAGGACTGATGTCTAGTGAAGATTCATGTTTGATTTATAATCCAAACATAACTTTACTATTTATTTACAATATTGTATCTAGGTTGCATAATGGAATACAATATCGTATTTTGTATTTAGGTTATTTATTTTGTATTATATCAGGTATTCAGGTGTTGACACTATACATTCTGCCTGCATAAAATAATATGTTTCAAATTAATATGTTACATATTATATCAATAATTAATGGTATGTGATTAAATTAATTAATTGAATAGACTTATACATTCTGTTGTAGATAATAAATCTATCTTAATATAAATAAAATGCATATACTTTGGGGTCTGTCTCATAAGAGCTATTTCATTTTGGTTTTGTTTGGCTTTGCCGGGCACAAATAGTTGCCTTCTCTTCACCCAGACTTCAGCAATGGATGTCGGTTTTGTAATCAGCCAGTTCCTTTTGGTTTCTTTCTGTTCTCTCCATGCTGCTCTCCAGGTACTTCAGTGATACAGGTGACAGCTACTGACGCAGATGATCCAACATACGGAAACAGTGCAATGTTGGTTTACAGCATTCTCCAGGGCCAACCCTACTTCTCAGTGGAGCCTCAGACAGGTATGCAACACACCACTTCCGAGGCTCTATGTGATCGTAAACAATAATCCTAATCATCACTGAGAAGTAAAGGCAATACATTTTGGGAAACATGGTATGTATATTTTTGGGGGCAAAAAGGCATGGGAGATAAGAGTCCAGGCAAATACCCCTTGAGGTTTTTTTGGGAAATAAATATTGAAAAAGGATGTGGTGACAAAGGGTTCAATCAGGAGCTGCACTTTTAAGTTGGTCACCCCCCCACCCCCCAAGCTGTGTCTTGTGTGGCATTTCCTTTCCACCTGATGGGCTTTAAGCGTTGTTGCGAAAGACAGTCCTACCCCCTGGTCGGGGCAATTATTGACCTTCAGCTATGTCCTGTTGTCATTACTTGTGGCTGACTTTGTCGGAAACCATCTGTCTGATTGGTGCTCATCGGTGTGACACTGTTGCATCACAACATTTCTTGTGATTTTTACTCATTTCATGTAAAGCTAGAGTATATGTTGCTTCTCAAATCCCAGTAGGACTGAAAATATGCCAAATCCAAAGTAGTACTTGCTAAATGAGAAGAGCTTAGAGTGGAAATAATGCCTGCCTACACTGGAACACACCCAGTGCCCACATTTAACACCTTCTAGGCTTATTGTGCTGTCAGGCAGAGAGCTCAGCCGAATATAACTGGATATCAACAATCCAGATTTTATTCTCTTGTGTAACTGGCATGTCAGTTTACTAACAGGGAAAGTAGCAGGCTAAAACTTCACCAAATGACAGCTCTGACTTCCACAGGATTATTATAATTAAGATAAATAAGATAGGGTGTACTTTATTGATTCCTGGGGGAAATTCTTGGTAACACTTCTATAATGCAACACTCATCTATAATGCATTATAGATACCTTCATAATACATTTTAATGATCAGTATAAGAAATAATAAAGCATTACAGCATCTTATTCTGACAGTCATAAGGCATAATAGTGTTAAATATAATACTTCATAAGCTCAAATGAAGCTCTCATCATAATGCATTATAATGGTTGGTACAAGAATTAAGGATGTGTTGTACTGCATTATGAAGGTATGAATAGTGCATTATAGATTAAAGCTTCAAAAAGCATATATAAGGCATATTAAACATGGCTATAACGTGTCATGTCTTTTTATAAATATATTTAGCCATGTTTATAATGCTTTATGAATGCATTGTAATGTGCTATGCAGGGCTAGACATAAGCCGCGGCACCGCGGCCAATGCCCGTCGTGCCTTTCAAAATTGGCCGCACGCCTCCTCAAAATTGAAGTACCTTACGGCCATTACACAAAAGACTTGTGCATGACACGGTCCACTTTACCTCGTCAACAATCGATGCATCTGTACTGAACCCGAACCCGAACCCGAACCCAACCTTCGATACGAGAAACGAGGTCGACCCGCACATCTCGTAATTCCCAACTACTGAATGAACCGCAATGAATTCTGGACTAATACGATCATGTGTTCGTCGC